TGGATGGGTGGATGGATGGATGGATAGGTGGATGGATGGATGGATGGATGGATGGATCGATGGATGGATGAATGGGTGAATGGATGGATGGATGGGTGGATGGATGAATGGCTGGCTGGATGGAAGGATGGATGAATGGGTGGATGGATGGATGGATGGGTGGGTGGAGGAACAGGTGGATGGACGGGTAGATGGATGGGTAGATGGATGGGTGGATGGATGGGTGTGGGATGGTGGATGGATGGGTGTGGGATGGGTGCAGTGAGGGCAGTCCCAGCCCAGCCCAGCCCGGTGTGAGCGGTGCCCGCGGTGCCGTGAGTGCCGTGCCCAGCCTCCACATTGCATGCGCTGTGCGTTCCGGTGCCACACACAGTGTGTACAATGCAGCTGCTGGACAGGCAGCTTCTCCCCAGCCCCTGCTCTCCTCTGGGCCTTTCCCCGTGTCCGTGTCTCCCGGCGGCTGGAATCACGGCTCCAAGCCGGGAGGGAGGGAGGAGGTTGAACAGCAACTGCTGGGAGAGGGTTTGTGGATAAAGCCCGGGGGGAATCTGGTCTGAGCTCCCTGGGGTTTAAAACCCTCTCTGAGGAACAAGGCGTGGGTTTAATCAACTCCTCTGTGTCATGTTTGCCTGATATTAAATGATCTTGGAGGGCTCAACGGTCCCGCCATTCCATGACTTTTCACGTAGGAAGTTTAGCTTGCCAGAGAAAGGGAAAGATGGAACTCCAGGAATCACCTGAGAGCCCAAGTGGAGTTACACTGACAGAGAAACAAAACCTGAGGCAGAGGAAAGGGAGGCAGGGCATTGGCACCACTGATACTCCTGATGGTAAATAGGGATAACAACACCCTCTGATGCCTCTGCTCCTGTTGGGTACAAATTCCCTCAGGGAAGGATGATTCCTGCTTAGATAAACACGGGATTTCTGGACCTGAGCACCTCTAACAGTCTCACACCATCCCATTTACCTTCCCCAATCCCCTGGAGCTGAAATCCAAGTGCGGTCCAGCTGCAGGGAATTACCACGGTGTGAAGGAAAAATGCCAGTGGGATCAGCTTGGGTTTCCCAGTTATTGGTCACGGCTCTTGGGCTTCCCTCCCAAAACAGCTGCTGGGGAATATATTGTTGCCCAGAATGTCACTATTTATTTAATTTTCTCGGGTCCCTTTCTGCCATCGGGGTCTCCCTGGGAAGAAGGGAATGAGGACTTTTGATGGAGCTGAGCTCCCTCGTGCCAGCGAGGTTGTGGATTGAAGAGACCCGACAGAAATCCTTGGATTTCACATCAAAGAGTAACTAAATATCCCAGTTTCCTCAGTAGTCTGGAAATAACACCTCGGAGAGTCATTTTTGCACCCCTTTCCCACCTTGGAGATTTCCAGGCAGGAAGAATCCAACGCTGTTTATTGTTATGATATCCCAGTTTTTAGGACAAAAATCACCTTTTCTGTACCTACGTGGAACGTCATAATTATTTCTCCCTGACTCTGTGCCCTTCCCTGCTGTGGCGTGGGCAGGATCCAGTGCCCACTGCAGGGAGCTGGAGAGTTTTTCCACTGATTCCAGTGGCTCCTGGACTGGTTTGCCCCTTCCCAGCGCCCAAAAAACTATCCAAACAATACGTGTGTGAACATTATCATGCTAATCCAAACACAGGCAGCCCAAATGCCACCGGAGGGGTCCTGTGTTCTCATTCCAGAGGAATTTAAATGGAGCAGCCTCAAACTCTTGGAAGCACATCCACGGTGGGTGTTGTGACAGGTGGGACCCGGGCTCTGTGGTTGCTCTGATAAAATGATTATTCCCTGGCAGTGCTTGGGGGAATTAATGAGGGCAGCTCCTGCCTGTGGGGCTGTTTTCCTTTGGCTGAGTTCTGAGCAGCAGAGAGTTGGTTTTTCTCGTGAAACATATGGCATTATTTTCCTCCTGCTCCCCTCTCTTCCAGAATTCCCTCTGGGGAATCGATTCTTTAAGTCTCTGCTCTGTACAGTTCAATGGCATTTTCTGAGAAGTAAATTTTACTCGAAGATGCCAATTTTACTTGAAGAAGATGGGTTTGGTTTGTTGCTGTGTTTTTTTTTTTGTTTGTTTTTTTGGGCTTTTTTTGTTTGTTTTGTTTTATTTTGTTTTGTTTTTTTAATTTAATTTAATTGATTTGGGGGTTTGTCCACTTGTTTTAAAAAAGAGGTGACACCTGCAGCCCTCTGTATCCCACAGCAGCTGAGGTAGGAAATGCCCCATCCACAAAACAGAATCCCAGAATGGTTTGGGTTGGAAGGGACCTTAAAGGTCGTCTCATTCCAAGCCCTGGGCACCTTCCACTAGCCCAGGTTGCTCCAAGCCCTGTCAAATATCTATTTATTTATTTTCCTTTCCCCTAAACATTCCAGCTGTCCAGGTCTAGACTTTTCCTGAGAGATGGATTCCCAATTTGAGACTCATTTTTACACCTCCCATCCTTATCCTACAGCAGCACCAGCAGTTTCTGACCTCATCATCAACTCAAGGAGCTTCTCCCCATATCCCCCTTGGGAAGGAGGAAAGCTGAGGAGACTCCTGCAGGCTGGCCTGAATCCCAGACACCTCCAATCCTTCATAAACTCGATCCTGCACTACCTGGCTTGCTTGGAAACGCCGGCTCTTTTCCCTAAGAAATGCAGCTCTGGGATGGGGCTGGCGTGGTGCACACACGAACCTCGTCCCAGGCTGCAGTCAGGATGTGGCCAGGTGCATTTTAAACCTGGAATGTGGGAAGCAGGCCTGGGCCACACAGTTTAGAGCAACCACAGACCCCTCCCAACCAGGTTTTTCCTGCTGGGAGCTCCAGTGTGGACCCACAGCCCATTACTCTTCATTGTGTCCTCAGGGATCATCCAAGACACTTCCCGTGCTCCCTCACACTCCACAGGCTCTGGGACAACTGTGGGCACTTGTTTTATTGTCCTGAGCCTCCCAGCACCTCATAACTCCTTGGAAGCCAAAAACTAAGGCCAGAAGGGAACAGAAATCACATTTTTGTCTGAAATGTGTGTGCCCACAACGCCTCCTCCCGCACCCACATCCCGCCCCTTCCTCAGTCCTCACGGAAAAGATGCCCAAGTTGAAAGAGAAAAGGAAGGGGGGAAAAAAAAAAGCCTTCCCCACAAATTGCAGGTTTCCACCGGTGCTCCATGAAACCTCAGGGAGCTTTTTAAAGCAGCTGAGGTTGGAGGGAGGAAATCAGAGCTTTGGGAGCAGATGCTCAAAGCCTCAGGCAACTTTCTGCCTCTCCAGCCCCACGGGAGCGCTGGGAAGAGATGGGGAGAACTCAGAGGATCCTTAAATGCCAAATTTAGCCCTCCTGGGAGGATGGCAGGATGGGAGGGTGGGGAGGCACTGCCAGAGAAGCTGTAGCTGCCCCATCCCTGGAAGTGTCCAAGGCTTGGAAGGGGCTTGGAGCAACCTGGGCTAGTGGAAGGTGTCCCAGCCCATGGGAGTAAATGGTCTTTAAGGTCCCTTCCAACCCAACCCACTCTGGGATTCCCTGACTCCATGTGCTGTCTCTCCAAGCCTGGGCTGATCCTTCCAGAGACCCTGGAGGTGCCACAGTGGAAACCCCACACTTCAGAAGGGATAAAGCTTTCACAGGAGGGAAAACCTGTCCTTGCAAGAGTCACTGGGGGGGCTCTGATGCTCATCCTGTATTTATTTATAATATACCTTCTCCTGTATTTATTTATACCCACGACCATCTCCAAAAACTGCCTCCCAGGGGAGCTGTGAGGAGCAGCCACGACTTACCCCAGCCAAATAATGTGAATCCCCAAAGATATTTCTTCTCTGAGAAAAATGCCATGAAGATGAGGCTGTGGAGATAGAGCCCTTCCACCAGGATCCAGTAGTAATTGGTTGCCAGGAAGTAGAGGAAGAAGGTAACAGCTACTTTACAGCCCACCTGCAACGAGCACAGAAGGACAGGAAGGCGCGTGAGGAGCGCGGGGTGGAATTCCCGTTCTCCACAAAGACAGAATGAACCAACACGGGGTGGGAAACAAGGTGGAGAAAGGGAGAAGTAAGTCAGGCAATTCTGGTGGCTTTTATAAGGGGGAAAAATCATCACAGGAACAGAAGGGGTGACCAACTGAGAAAGCAGCCAAGCCAAACTTCGTTTTTCCAATAGCAGGTGAGTTGGGAGTTGTTGGAGGACAAGCAACCTGTGGAGACATGATGGCCTGATCCTGCTCTCTGCCAACCTACTGATGAAGGACTCACAAACCTTGTAGCTCAGCTGTGTTTCCTCTTTTCCCCGTGTCCCTTGTCCACGGCAGAGGACAAAGTTGGCTGAGTCGGCTCCATCTGGGTGACCCGGTGCAAGTCCCATCGCTTGGAGCTCATCCCATCCTCAGCTCATGGAGGGATCTTATGGATCAAGTCACCCCATCCTGCCATGGGTGTCCAAGCCAGGATCCTCCAGGGCTGCCTGTCTGTCCTCAGAAGATGTGAGGACACCCCGAGTGGCTGCTCTGGGCTCTGGAGCCTGGGCCTCCAGCAGCAAACAGAACTTGGAGGTTCTCACTCCCAGTCCCAAGGTGCTTCTGAACAGAGCTGAGCTGCCAGGGGGGACATCTGCTGGAGACCTCCAGGATGTATTGATGTGGAATGAGCTGAGCTCTCACCCCACACTGGGCTGAGATCCTTTGCTTTCTAAAGGAAAACCTCGACTGTGACCCGCCAGTCCTTGAGGCAGAGTGGGCAAAGCCACCCTCCCTCCAAATGTCTCAGCTCTGGCAGAGAAAGGTTGGACAATTTTGATGCCACGTGGGCTTAAATGGCACAAAGGGGCATGTAAAGCCATCTCTTGCCAGTGGGGACATTCTTGGAGTCTGGGAAGTTGGATTTCATGGGAAGCCTGTGACTACCAAACAGCATCACGTCTGCAGGATGTCCCTTCCTTTGAGAGGAACACAAATGACTGGCAGGAAATGTCAATAATATGCACCTTGTAAATAAAAAAGGGATTTTTTTTTTATCCTGGCACAGCTCTTATGCTAATCCCTTCTCAATCAAAATGAATATGCACGTATTATATCCATATATCCATATATTTTTCTGTCAGTAGGATATGGACACGTTTTCTTTTACAAAGTGAGTTAAAATAGAAGACCAATTAAAAACTCCCTTCCAGGTGGGATTAATAATAAGTTTTATGTAGTTTTATGTTTTATATGTAGTAAATTTTATATCCTGTATTTCTATTTTATATTTGTAAAAATACACCATGTACCCCCCCACAGGGAGCATCAGGCAATAATTGCAAAGCTCCCACTTCCCTTGGAAACAAGAGAAATCCATTAATTGTTGCCTTCGTCACTTATTTGCCTTTCAATCCAGAAGAATGGGAGATGCCATTAAAATGCTAATATTCAAAGAATGCCATTTATTATCCCAATTATTCCTCTGAATGAGTCCAGCCCAAGGAGAAACAGAAGACAATGCAGTGAAACGTTTGGGGTTCTTCCCAAAAAGTGAGTGTTTTGAAGTGTGCTGAGTTCTCAGCCAGTTAATGAGACGGATCTTGGAATGGGAAGGAAGCACAACACCAGATTTCCATTTGGGATGACTTGGATGCACAGTGGGACACTCCACAGGCACTGATTGGATTCAGGGGGCTGCTGGCGCTTCCCTGGTGGGGGCAGGAGCTGTGAAAGGCTTGAGAAGCCACATAAATGTGAAGGCAGGATGTTTATCCCAGAATGGCTGAGGCTGGAAAAGCCCTCCCAGCCCATGGATCCCCCCTGTGCCCGATGCCCACCTTGTCCCCCAGCCCAGAGCACTGAGTGCCACGGCCAGGCCTTCCTGGGACACCTCCAGGGCTGGGCACTCCAAACCTCCCTGGGCAGCCCCTGCCAAGGCCTGACCACCCTTTCCAGGGAGAAATTCCAGCTGATGTCCAACCTGAGTCATTCCTGGCCCAGATGGAGGCCGTTCCCTCTCCTCCTGTCCCTTGTTCCCTGGGACAGGGATCAAGAGAGCAGAGCCCGATCCCCCCGGCACCCCCCTCCTGTCAGGGAGTTGCAGAGAGTGAGAAGATCCCATTCCAAGGATATCTTGGAAAATCTGTGATGGGACCAATGACCAGAAGAGCTGATATTTTCTTTTCAGAAGCTGAGGAAGACTCTGACACATGAAGATGGGCTTCTTCCCCCCCGGCCCACGGCCAGTGCAGGTTCTGCCATCAGAGCTTCCTACACAGGGAAAAAACAAGCTGGGGGACAACCCTCCCCTTTGGGGACAAGTTCAAACGACCTCCCTTCAGTTTTTATTTTGGGATGGTGACTCCTCTGCCTGTGCTGACCCTGCTGACCCAACCAACCATCAATGGAAGCAGAGATGTCCCCAGTGAACCACTGACCGTGGCACTCAGTGCTCTGGGCTGGGTGACGGGCGGGCATCGGGCACAGCTTGGACTTGGTGCTCTTGGAGGTCTTTTCCAACCTCAATGATCCTTTGGTTCCAAGGTCCCTCTCTTGCAGACGTCTGCCTTTTGCAGAAGAGTCCCAGCCTTTCTTATGCCAGCACATAATCCCTCCTTTTTCCCATCTAAAGTTCCTTTTTTCATATGGGAGTGATAAAAGTTGTGCATTCCCCATCCCTGGAAGTGTCCAAGGCAAGGTTGGACGAGGCTTGGAGCAACCTGGTCTAGTGGAAGGTGTCCCTGCCCATGGCAGGGGGTGGGACTGGATGACCCCTAAAATCTTTTCCAACCCAAAGCATTCCATGATTCTGTGATAAATCCCAACAGGAACAACCAGCTGTGGTTTGCTCCAAAATGAAAGCGAGGTGAGATGTCCTCTGGTGACCTTCTTCTTCAGGAGAAGGTGTCAGGGCTGAGACCCTCCCATGGCACAGTGGGCTGTCACTTTGGGGGCACACATGTCCCAGCCCAGTGATGCCTCCATGGGGCATCCAGAGAGCAGCTCCCAGTGGAAAACCAGCCAGTTGTGGTGGGAGAAGAACACGGCGGAACACGAGCACTGGTGGGATAGTCAGGAATGTTCCCAGAGCCAGAAAATTCAGGGGACATCAGGGGAGTGTTGAAAATAGGAGTTGTGAATGGGAATCAAAACATCAACCACGAGGAACAGCTCTTCCTTAGCTCAGGGGTTGGGAAACCCCTCTGGATTGAGAGGGAGAGGGAAGGGATGGGGAAGGGGAGCAGGGTGGAAAATCCCCCTGAAAAAAAACCAAGTGCTGACCAGCCAGGAGAGAGACACGAAGACCAGAGAGCCACCTGCTCCGGGGGTACTCACAAACTGCGACTTGTCCGCTGGAGGTGCCTCGGTGATGGATTTCAAGTCCTCCTCCGAGATCCTCTCCATCTCCTCCAGGGCCGAGCCCGAGTAGAGCACGGCGTCCTTCACGAAGATGCTCACGGCCCTCAGCATGAAGGACACGAACAGGTGCATGTGGATGTAGTTCCTAGTGCAGTGCAAACGCCTGCAGGGGACACAGAGAAGGGTTGGGGGAAGTTTAGCCCGTCTTGGGGGACGTTCTTGGAGTCGTCTCTGCCTCCAAAGAGCCCCCCGGCTCCTCTTGGCCCCACGGTGCCGCCGCTGCCCCGCGCTCACCGATCCCCCATGGGCATTAACTCCTGCTCCAGGGGGCTCCTGGAATCGTGGAATCATGGAATGGGCTGGGTTGGAAGGGACCTCAAAGGTGATCTTGTTCCACCACCCTGCCATGGGCAGGGACACCTTCCACTAGCTCAGGTTGCTCCAGCCTGGCCTTGGACACTTCCAGGGATCCAGGGGCAGCCACAGCTTCTCTGGGAAATCCATTCCAGGGCCTCCCTACCCTCACAGGGAAGAATTCCTTCCTAAAATCTACTCTAAACCAACCCTCTCTCAGCTGGGAGCCACTCCCCCTTTCCCATCCCTCGATGCCCTCGGACCCCAAGGGCAGCAGAACTTGTGGCCACCGAAAACCTCGCCGAGGCTCCTGTGAAGTGCTGATTTTTGTGCCCATGCCAAATTTGGTCGCAACTACAGGAGTAACTGAAGTGTGTTGGGTGTTTTCCCTGTTTTCCCTGTTCCCTGTTGGGAACATTCTCCTTTGCTTGCTCGTGTTGAGCAGGTTTTGGGCTCCACCCCAGCAATGGCAGCAACGACCCCACAAATGCTGGTTGTAAAGCGCTTTAAGATCCTTTTTGGGGGAAAAGCTGGATGGGGAGAGGTCAGTGGGTTGGACCCACAGATGAGAGGTGCATTTGGGAACCAGGGATCATGGGTTTGGGGAGAAGAAGGAACTAGCTGACCTCTTGGGATCCCCTCTGTCCTCTAGAGCTCCTGGCTGGCCACGCATGGATTTATGGATGGATTAACATCCTCTTAAATCCCCAGCTCCAATGATGGAAATAAAAATTAAAAGCTGTGTTTTTTTCTCCTTTGGAGGATATTACGACAGCAATAACAGTTGTTGTCTGGGGTATTATAATCCAAGTTACACCAAGTGGAACTGATGAGGTAGAAATGAAGATGGGCTTTGTTCCCTGCATTTGAAATGGAGTCAGTGAATCCCCGGATTATGTGTTATCTGGGATAAAACCTGGCTTGGTCCCTGCTGCTGCTTTGATCCTTGGGATAAAGATGTTCTAGCACAGTTGTCCATGTGGTCTGAGCTGTAAATGAAGTGCTCTGAGAACATGAACAAAGAGAGAAACTAGGAATACTCTTGAACTCCTGAAACTGGGAATGCTCTTAGATACGTGGACATGGAATGTTTTAACAACCTTGCCAATGTCCAGTGGGCAAGGAAATGGAGGGAGAAGGTTGGGAGAGGAGAAGTGTGGTGGCAGGGGTCTGGCCCTGCATGGTGGCAGTGCCTCCAGGAGGGGTCTGCAGTCCCCTTGGCCCTGCGTGTGTCCCAAATTTGGGCTCTGCTGTCCAAGCACATCCCCCTGAGCCCCTTTGGCTCCCTGCAGAGGGGCCTGAGCCCTTTCAGAGCCAAAAGCCCCCCATTTTATTCCCAGTGGTTCATGCCCAGGGCTTGGCTCCAGCTCCACGTCCAGACACCACGTGGTGTTTCCAGCACAGGGAGAATTTCCCCCCTCAGCTCCTGTCTGGGTCCTGCTGTTTTCCAGGAGAAGATGTGACCAGACACTGAAGGGAAGCAGATCTGGGGCTCAGGGGTTGGGAGTCAACCCCCTGCTCTATTCCCAGCTCTCCAGGTATGGCTTCCCAAAGGCCAAATTCCCAGATGTGGTGACACCTTTCACCCCTCCCATCCCACGCTCTCTGTGCCAGCGAATCCTACAGTGCTTTGGGTTGGAAGGGATTTTAAGGATCACCCAGTGCCACCCCCTGCCATGGGCAGGGACACCTTCCAGTGTCCCAGGTTGCTCCAACCTGGCCTTGGACGCTTCCAGGGATGGGAGATGCAAGAGGAGCTCTGAGGAATGGATGCTGTGGGTCCAGAGGGGTATTTAGGGGTCTCCATCCCTTGGCAGAGGGGGGTGGAAAGGCAGGGGAGACCAACCAGAGTCAGGAGGGTGAAGGGGGATTTTTGGCTCCCTGGGAACAGCAGCGGGGGCAGGTTGGAGGAATCAGCCTGGGATGGCTGATTTATCCTTCATGGATATTTGGGGTTGGAGTGCCAAATTCCCTGAGGAAAGCGTTACTACCTCAAAAAATTACCATCTAAATCTGAGCCGGGCGGGGAATAGGGGCAGAAAACCCCAGAGGGTTTTCCAAGGGGGACCAACCTCTTCCTGGAGATTCCCCTCCTCCTGTTTGCTACGGAGGGTCTGGAAAACTCTGCGGGGAAGAGGAGGAGGTTCAAACACCCCACCCACCATCCCCCAGGAAGTTTGACCTGGGGTCAAACGACGCTAAGACAACCCAAATCCCGGACGGAACCGCTCCTGGAATTGCCACCCCAACCTGATCCTGTGGGAGAGCCCGAGGCTTTTTCCCTTAGGTAAAACCAGAGCCGCCTACCTGAAGTATCCCAGGATAAGGACAGCAACTGTGAGGGATCCCAGAGAGATGGAGTATCCAACAGTATAAATCAAATAGAGGCGATCAAAGACCTCCTGCAGCAGAAACGATGGAAAAAATAGCGTCACATTAGAACGCGGCCTCCTGACGGGGGGACACGGGCACTCGGACACCCCCGGGGCTGGGAATCCTCGGGAATCACAGCCTTTGGGCACCCCGGGAAGGGCTGGTTGTGTTTCCTGACGGGATTTCCTGACGGGATTTCCTGGGAGGGCGGGATTTTCGCGTGGGTCAATCCCTCGCCTGGGAGTTCTCTGCAGCGTTTTCATCCCAAAGGAACCCAAAGCGCTTTACAAACTCTCGGCCCCATCCAGAGATCGCTTGGATCTCCACGAGGACAAAACCTTGGCTTGGACAGAACGCCCATGAACCATGGGATTTGGGCTGGAATTGTACAATTTAGCCATTGCTGACTGATGCTGGTCCAGCCCACCCCAGAAAACACGGGCAGGATAAACTTTGGCTCTGGGATACGAGGAAAAAAAAAATCACCTGCATTTATTTTTCCCCTTTTTCCAATCCAAAGCAGCCTCTGCCTGTGGTTATCCAACCCAGACACAACCTGAGCTTGCCAAAGGCCTGTTGGAAAAGGTCCTGTCACAGGAGAGCTCGTAGGAATTAATCCTCTGAGAGGTTTTAGTTCTCTTGACTCTCTGTGTTTTAAAGCTGGGCTTAGAAACCCTGAGGTTTCCATTAAATATCAAGATGTTTTCCCTTCATCCTGTGCTGGGACGTGCAGCTGAACTCAGGGATTCCTGAATATCCACCCGGAAAGGGTTAAAATTCCTGCCACCAGCCCAGTTTGTACTGCCTTGAACTGCCTGAAATTAGAAATAAACCCCAAAGAAACCAAGCAATTCAGCACCTTTCTCCCTCCTCCTTTGCCTCCCGCCTTTCCCTCACCCCACCCACCGGGATGCAGGAACACTGGGCTCGGAATGACAGCCCTGGTTGGGATTGGAGGCTTGAAATGCTGGCCTGGAATGGGAAACCTCAGCCCCATGACATCAGAATCCCCAGATATGGGAATGTTTCTCTGTGGTTTCCATCGGCGGAGTGGAGTGTTTGCCAATATTAATTTAGTGTGTGTGTCTGGGCGTATTTATATATATATTTTTATATATATCTCTCTCTCTATATCTGTCTGTGCAGGCAGCAGGCACTGAAAAGCCAATGGGAGTAGATTTGAAAGCTTTGAGGGAAAAAGAGGAATTTTCCTGCTGCCAAGCTGGAATCCTCTTTGAACTGGAAAACGTTTGCCTCCAGAATGAAAATAATAGTAGTAATAATAATAATAATAATAATAATAATAATAATAATAATAATAATAAAAATCCTGGTCCAAGTTTAGGATTTCTGGGAATCCAGCAGTTGTGAGGGGGGACAAAAGGGTCCCTGAGCCCCACTGAGAAATTTAACTGGGAAGATCCACATTCCTGCCGGACAGCGATGGTGTTGTAGCAGGAATGGCCCTGGGAAGAGCCTCCTGATTGGCTGGCAGGACGTTTTGGGAGGCTGTGGTTAATTCCTCTGATTAACCACAGGGCCTCTCTTTGGAAGGGTGAGGAGTGAGAGGTGCCAGGACACACAGATCCACGGCTCCCAGCAAGCTGGTGTCCGATCCCACCGATGGAGGAGGCACAAATCCTGCTCTGGGAAAGGGGATTCTCTGGATGGGCCGCTTAGATCCTCAGGGAAAAGCCAGGAGCAAATGTCTGAGGTTCTCCAACAGGCTCCGTTCCCAGGAGTTTGTCTCAGGAGTCACCATTTTGCCCTGGATTTACCCAGGAGGGACAAAGTGATATTTAGGGATCTCCATCCCTTGGCAGGGGTGGGGGAGAGGGAGGGGAGCCAGTCAGAGTTTGGAGGGTGAAGGGGGATTTGTGGCTGCCTAGGAGGAGCAGCAGTGTGGGGAGGTTGGAGGAGGCAGCCTGGGATGGATGGCTGGGCTTCCCTTTGGCTGCTCCAGAGGGGGAAAAATCCCTCCAGGCAACTCCAGTACCACTCATCCAGCATGAGGGAGGTCCCAGCTGGGTGGGAACCACGATGCTGAGTCAGGGAAGGTCCTCCAGGTGACAAAATATTGAGTCATCTGCCAGCTGCAACAACCACCTCCATGGGCTGAGATCCCTCTGCTGGGAGCTGAGAGGGACATGAGTGGAAATCATTCCCAGGTCACAAAGGTTGGGATGGCCAAGCCATGGACACAACCTGGGCCTCCACAGTCTCCAGTTCAGTACTTCTGAGACCAGGAGGAGCTCTGATGGCTCCCAGAAATCCACCCTGAGGACACACTGACCATCACTGGTCATCCACTGACCTGTTGGAAGGGGCAAAAATCTGGCCTTGCCACACCTTTAGACCCTGGTTTAAGAAGTGTGATGCTTTAACCGGTGTAATTTAATTTAATTATCACTTAATTTAAGTGTTCAAGGCTTGGAGCAACCTGGGCTAGTGGAAGGTGTCCCTGCCCACGGCAGGGGGTTGGAATGAGATGAGCTTTAAGGTCTTTCCCAACCCAAATCAACCCAGGAATCCAGGATCCTATGAATTTGATTCCTTCACTCTTTCACCTGAGGACACAAGTGCTCTGGAAAATAGGAAAAGCTGAAAATAAACTCATGGAAAACCAGAAGGACAAAACTTCAACATCTGGGATTCCAGGGGTTGGGATTGTCAGTAAAATATTATAAAACCCATAACAGAGCACCAAGATTGGGGAACATCAGCTTCAGAGCTGATGGCCTTGAACATCCCTCTTTGTTCACTCCATCCATCCGTGGAATGATAGAATTGAGGTTGGAAAAGCCCTTTGAGTCCAACCATTGACTGCCAAGGCCACCATTGACCCGTGTCCCCAAGTGCCACATCCCCACAGCTTTTAAATCCCTCCAGGGATGGGGACTCCAGCCTGTGCCAGGGCTGGACAGCCCTTTTCAGGAAGGAATTTTCCCAATATCCAACCTGAACCCCTTGAGGCCGTTTCCTCTCCTCCTGTCCCTTGTTCCCTGGGAGCAGAGCCCAACCCCAGTTGTCCCTCCACGTGTCTCAGGTCATTTTAGTCCCCCAAGTGTCCTGCTTGGCTTCCAGCTGCTCTTGCAGAAGGGGAGGAGTTTCCTGAAGGTCCCAGGAATTGGATCTGCAATTCCCACGCAGCTGTCTCCCAAACCTGAGGACATCTCATCTAATTCCAGGCCTAAACCTCATCTCTGTTCCAGCATGTGGATGAAACGTTCAGGGTTTTGGTGTCCACGTGTCCTGGTCCCTCCCAGTGTCCCAGGGAGGGACTGAGACAGGAGTTTTCTACAAGACTGATGGCAAATACTATTCCAAGTGTTACTGTGGATACCCTGGGCCTGACTTTATCCTTCCATCCTTTTTATTTGTGAGACAACAGCAAAATTCTGCACCCTTTGTTTCGTGGAGCTGAACTGGATCCAGTGATCCTTTGAGGAACTGGCAGGCTCTGCTGGAGGCTGGGATTAGCGGGATAGGAGGATGGAATCACAAGAAAGGGCTTTCCAGATGAAGCATCTCCAAAGTTTCTCCAAGCTGCTGATTCAGACGTTGTTAATGACACGTTTGGAATCAGCAGGGGAAGTGTTTCACTGCTTGGAGCGATAAGCAAAGCCAGAAATCCTCTGGGTTGGCTTTTCTTGCCTTTTGGGTTGTTTTTTTTTTACAGCAAAGTTGTGACTAAATAAAAAGCTTAATGGGACGTGCACAAAAGGCACAAACCAGCCACTGATTTCCAAAGCCTCGGGGAAAACATTGAGGGTTGAACAGGAATTTTGGCTGGAGGATTCTGTTCCCTTCATCCCTAGAGGTGCCGGGCACTTAAATCCTCCCAGTTTGGATAAAGAGCGGGATCAGCTCTGAGATAAGATGCCCCAGTTTAGACTCAGACACCCCAATTTAGACTAAGACACCCCAACTTAGATGTGCAAACATGCACGTCTTTGTGGTCTTTATGGCCCCTTCCAACCCAAAGCGTTCCAGGATTCCCTGATTCTATTCCCAGCCCCACTCTGTGGGCAGGGAACGAGCAGGGACACCACAGGGTGGCTGCAGCAGTGAAGAAAACCTCTCCAGGAGGCTTTTTTTTCACTCCTAAACAGCCTTTCAAAGCTCTGCCCCTCTATCCTGGTGCAAAGGGCTGCCCCTTCGCTGGCATTTCCCGGGATAATTCCGTGTCCACGCCGCAAACGGGGCTCGGGGGCCTCACAAAAGCTGTTTGCTTTTCAAAGGCCCCCGGAGAACCCCGGGAACACAGCGGATTGTTGGTGGGACAATGGAGTTTAGATAAAGCAGCCCTGCCCCACGCTGGGCCGTCCCCATTGTCTTGGGGGTGGGATGGAGTCTCCAGGCCTCTCTGGTTTCCCTGGAAGCAGTAAAAGCACCAGGCTCTAACCGAGCAGTAGCACATGAAGACAGGATTGGTGGGCTGAGGTTACGTCTCACGACGGTCCCTCTTGCTGGTGGTTTCCAAGCTGAGCCAACCTCCCAAGTTGCTGGCTCGGATCCCCCTTCTCCCTGATTTCCGTGGATGTGGATGGCGTTTACCCTCGAGCTCATCCCTGGAAACGGGCTGGGTTGGACCCGCTTTAAAAATAGATGAGTTTGGCAGCAGTGCTGCTGTTGGGGGGAGATGGGGACGAAGGAGATTTCTGCTTTTTGGCCAAAATATGCCACTGACTCCTGGCAGCCTCCCAAAAGGTGGCCAGGAAAATGGTCATCCTGGAGATGCTGTTTGAGCTGGATGTGTGGAAGGGGAGGGGGTCAGAGTCAAAATCCTGCTACGGTTTTTGGAGGGAAACGGCCTCAAAAGCTGCCAGAGGTTCATCACTTCTCATCTGGGCCATGTTTTATCTAAAGATTGAGGAGTTTCAAGAACACAAGTCACCCTCACTCCTGCTTTTAAGGGAATCTAGGAAAGAAAGAAAGGAGAACAGCCAACCTGGGCCAGGCCAAAGGTCTTTTTAACTCTGATCCCTGACTCCTGCACGTCCAGGAAGAGGTGATTAGGGAAGAGTGTGAGAACAGAATAAATATGGAATAAATATGATGCTGGAGTAAATCCAGAGGAGGTCATGGAGGTGCTCTGAGGGCTGGAGCCAGGCTGGGAGAGCTGGGGGGGTTCCCCTGGAGAAGAGAAGGCTCCAGGGAGAGCTGAGAGCCCCTTGCAGGGCCTACAGGGGCTCCAGGAGAGCTGGAGAGGGACTGGGGACAAGGGATGGAGGGATGGGACAAGGGGAATGGCTTTAAGATGAAGGAGAATATATTTATATTGGACATTGGGAAGGAATTCCTGGCTGTGAGGGACTGGAATGGATTTTCCAGAGAAGCTGTGGCTGCCCCTGGATCCCTGGAAGTGTCCAAGGCCAGGTTGGAGCAACCTGGGCCAGTGGAAGGTGTCCCTGCCTTCCAGGGGGTGGCACTGGATGATCCTTAAGCTCCTTTCCCACTCCAGCCATCCTGGCACTCTGTGATGCAGATCCCCCCCCCCCGTTCCCACCCTGCAGTGCTCATGGAGCCGTCCTGGATACCCTCTCCCAAAGTTCAGCAGAGCTTCAGCCCCGTGGAACAGGCAGCAGAGGGACAAACAGCTGCAGTTTAACCCCAGCGCCCCCGAGAGGGAACCCCAGCCAAGCCATCCCTTCCTTCCCTGCTCCTCCTGCTCCTCCTCAAACACCGGATGGAAAACAAGCCAAGCAGAGCTCCCAGCTCAGGGGGCTGGGCTGGGAAGCCACAGATCCCTCAGCTTGTCAGTTCAGAGGCACCTTGTGAAGATCCAGGGTGCAGGTGGGGCGGGGGCTGCCCAGGCACCTCTCCTGGGGAAGCAGTGGGAGAAGGAGCTTTCCCACCATCTCTGCTGCGCTGGGAGAGGGTTATTTTAAAAGCAGAATGTGAGGGAACACACAGAGGGTGGTGCAGAGGTGGCTTTGAGCTCAAAGGCACGAAGAAAACTGTCTCGTCTTCCCACGAGGAGCTGCTGAGACACCTTTCCACAAAACTTCATCCTGTCCTTTGCTAAACCGTTGGCTCAGACTGTGTCCAGGAGGTCACAGAATCCCAGGATGGTTTGGGTTGGAAAGGACCTCAAAGATCATCCTGTCCCACCCCCTGCCACAGGCAGGGACACCTTCCAGTGTCCCAGGTTGCTCCAAGCCCCGTCCAACCTGGTGTTGGACACCTCCAGACAGTTAGTCCCTCCACATTTAATCCTGTCTGGAAGGGATTTGAGGAGACACTTCCCTGGCTCACTCCAGGCTAAGAGGGGACACCAACCTCCAGAGCTGTCAACCCAGAGTCCTCCAGCAGAGCTGGTTTTCCCTCGGGACACAGCCCAGGAGCAGTTGTTCCCTCAGGCTGTTAATCCTTGGGCTCTGATGGCTTTAACATTCCAGAGGGTGGTTCCTCTGCTGCTCCTGCTGGAACCATCCTGTCCATCCCCTGCAGGACACAAACCTGCTCTGGGGCCCTCTGTTTGCTGCTCTGCTCAGTCTGCCAATCCTCCCACAGTGGTTAAAAGGAGAAAACTCCCCACCCAAACAAACATCTGGGGGTGCTTATTTAGGGGTGTATCTGTACCTCTATCTATAGTTACAGCCCTATTTCTAGGGAGAGCAGCAAATCTATATATTTATAGTCACAGACAGATTTTTTTTTCCCCCTCCTGATTCCCTCTAAATGCACATTTCCCCTGGTTGCATCTGCTCTGGTGCTGCTCTGCTTGGAGCCAGCCCACGATCCTCTTTCCAAACGTTGGTTAAATGCAGCTGTTCCCGGTGACGCAAAGATGTTGTTCCCCAGGGAGGGAAATAATAATAGAAAACAAATTCTCTCCCTCAAGATGACGGGTCTGCCTTACCAAAATTCCCCGATTCTGACATCTCCTGACATATTTACTTCAAGGAGAGGGGAAAAAAAAAAAAGAAATATCAAAGGGAGGTTTATTAATACCAGTGCTCTGTGTGTGACAGACAAGAGGCCTTCCGTGCTCTCCGTGAGGAAAGTCATCACCCAACTGGGCAAAAAAGGTCATTATTTTCTCTCTCTTTTGTTTGCAGGGTGTTTTTCAGACCAAAGGGCCCGAGAGACCTGCAGTGGCTGCATATTTGTTGTGTCACTTGTCACTAAAATTCAGCCACCTCGCTGATAACACACTCTGTGACAACACAGAGGGGAGGGCAGGGCTGCTCTCAGGGACACCTTGCAAATACAAGGTTAATAATAATAATAATAATAATAATAATAATGATAATAATAATAATAATAATAATAATAATAATAATAATAATAATAATAACAACAATAATATGTTGTTGAAAAGCATTTGTTAATCAAGCTCAAGTCCCAAAGCTGAGGAAAACCTCCTTTTTTTCCAGTGTTCTTTGCCCTGGGGAAGCACCACTTAAACAAGACCGTCTTGCTCAGTTAATCTGAGCAGTGGTGATGCTTTAATTTGTCTGACCATTAAATACCATCCAGTTCTCCTCAAACCAGGAAATTGCTGGCAAAATATGAATATTGAGGAGGATAGTGATATTGGGATGGTCAAATCCCATGGCATCTTTGTGGCAAAAGGTGAATCATGAGGAGGAGGATTTGGGGATGGTAAAATCCCATGGCATCTTTGTGGCAAAAGGTGAAGTACGAGGAGGAGGATCTGGGGATGGTTTATTAAAACAGCTCCTAAAGGAAGAGGTCATGAGGAGCAGGAATTTTCCAAGTGAGAGGCTGGGAAGAAAAATGAAGTCTCCTGGGCTGTGAGACCTCATCTAAACTCCCTTTGTTAGGAAGCACAGTCCAAGTCCTCTGGGCTGTGACCACCTCAGGGGACACAAAGTACCTGAAACCCAGGACCTGAGACTTTGCTTTCAGCCTTTTTCACCAGCCTGGGGGTGGAAGGTCTCCATTTTTATCTTGTGCTGGTAACAAATGGTCACCTCTCTTCTTCTTTCCACCTTCCCCTACCAAGTCACCTTGACAAGTCCCAGTTGCCAGTGTGGGAGGTTAAAAACACAGGATGTCCTTTCCCTGGGGGAAATCTTGGACACTGGCTCAGCTGGACAAGTCAGAGAATCACAGAATATCCTGAGTAGGGAGGGACCTCCAAGGATCATCAAATCCAACTCCTGGCTCTGCACAGACACCCCAACAATCCTCTCCTGTCCCTCAGAGCATTGTCCAAACCCTCCTGGAGCTCTGGCAGCCTTGGGGCTGTGCCCACTGCCCTGGGGAGCCTGGTCAGTGCCCAACCACCCTCTGGGGGAAGAACCTTTCCCTGAGATCCAACCTGAGCCTCTCCTGACCCACTGATGGTGTTTCTTCTGTCTGCAGCAGGTGACTCCCAGCTCAGGGCAGGGCTGAGGGAGGTGGCACAGAGACAATGACCTCAGAGAAGTCATGAAGTTGTACAATTTAGCAAAGTACTCAGTGTGATCAAGACACTCAATGACTCCAACACCCAGTCCAGAACCTTCCCAGAAAACTCTGGGGCTAAAACAGTTTTTTCCACTGGATGAACTGGGAAAAGATGAGCCCAAACTTGTTCTAGAAGTGAACATCATCCAACCCTGAGATGACACACTCTGCTGGAGCAGAACCCTGTGTGTAAAACCTTGCCTGTTCTTTGACCACATGACACAAGCCGTGCAGGTCCTCAAATAACTTATTTCCTCACTAAACAGCTTCATTCATGTGTTGCTTCACTCTGGAGAGAAAATAAAAGAAAACCCCCAACCCAAAACCAACCCCGGGCACGCTGTGGTTGGATTTCAAATGAGGAACATCCTCCCGACGGGCCTGTGCATCATCCCCTGTCCTTCTCCACTGATCTTTATCTCCAGCTGCCTGCACAGAGCCCTGCCTGCACATCCAGCTCCTACTTCACCAATTACCCAAATTTGTGCAAAACTAAGGCCCGGAGTTCTTTTTTCTTCCTATTTTTTTATTTTGTTTTCCAGGAGCCCACCAAACCCTCTCCATGTGCTTTTAGTCTCTTTTCACCTTTGGAGTGATGGCCCTGTTTCAAAACTGTGCCTACACCATTATTAATTCAAGATCATGGAATCCCAGTTTGCTTTGGGATTGAGGAAGGGACTTTAATGATCATCTCAATCCACCCTGTGCTATGGGCAGGGGCACCTTCCACTAGCCCAGGTTGCTCCAACCTGGCCTTGGACACTTCCAGGGATCCAGGGGCAGCCACAGCTTCTCTGGCAAATCCATTCCTAACCCTAACCCCCACAGACAAGAATTCCTTCCCAATATCCCATCTAAATTTACTCTCTTTCATCTTGAAGCCATTCCCTGTGTCCTGTCCCTCCATCCCTTGTTCCCAGTCCCTCTCCAGCTCTCCTGGAGCCCCTTTGGGCCCTGCCAGGGGCTCTCAGCTCTCCCTGGAGCCTTCTCTTCTCCAGGGGAACCCCCCCCAGCTCTCCCAGCCTGGCTTGGACTGGTTTGACTCTGGTTTGACTGACACATCCTTTTCCTCTGTGTTTGGACATCCCCCACCACAGCCAACCACAGAAACACTGGAATTTTTGATAACAACCTGGTAGCAAAATTATTTCCTGATGGGGCAGGGGGAGTCTCAGTGGCAGGGAACAACCTCCAACCACTTCTGAGCCTCCCTGAGACCGCTTCATTTCCCCCAAAATCCCTTTAGAAATGGGGGTGTGTGTGGGAGGGTGGCTGCTGGAGCCTTTCTGGCTTTGAGGACAATTCCAAGTTCAAGTAATTCCCCACCAAAACCCGCCGTGGCTTTGGCAAGCTCGGGCTTAGTTTCCAAGAGGAGGCCGATGAGCTGGAGCTCATCGAGGGTTTGAAGTGAGACAAGTGAGGAATTCTGGGTGAGGGCAGAATTCCCGCCCCGTGCCCGAAGGGAATTGCCTACCCTCTCCCTCGTCTCGTTGGTGAGGAACTTGGCACACTCGCTGTAGTTTGCCCAGGTCCTGTTGTTGCCTGGCACCAGCTCCCAGCTCCCGTTCAGGTCACACCGACGGTAAGCGTGGCCTGTGGAGAGAGGGGACACACAGAGTCAGGGCCCAGACCTGGGAAAACGGGAGAAAACCACTCCAGGGGTGGATCCCAACAGTCCTGCTGTGTCCTGCCCGCTTCCAAGCTCAGCTGCAAGAACCGAGTCCCATCTCCACAGAAACCTTATCGACCTTCCGGCTGAGAAACCCCACAGAGCATTTTAATTAGGGTCAGATAGTGGGTCTAAAAATCGAGGAGAGAAGCTTTGGAAAGCCCCAAAACATGGAATCATCCTCGGAATTAATTGCAGTTCTCCCTGGGAAATAAAGGGGGATTTATTGATGCTGCTCTTCCTTTACAGGCTCGGGTCATCTCCAGGGAGGTTTTTCTCTGGTTGCTCTCCTCGTGGTGGAGGAGGAAGAAGAGGAAGCAAAGTTTCCTCCTGGGATACAGCTGGCAGATGGGAATATCCACGTTCAGAGGGCTGTGTGGGCATCAGGGCATCAGCTGTATGTTAAAATCCCTTCACAGAAAATAGGGATGAAACCACTCAACAGACCCGTCTGTCCCGGGACTACGGAGGGAGAGGTGTTGGGAGCCCTCCAGGAAGATGGAGAGGGACTTTTACAAGGGCCTGGAGTGACAACAAAACTGGGAATGGCTTCAAACTGACAGGCAGTAGGTTTAGGTTGGATATTAGGAAGGAATTCCTGGCTGGGAGGGTGGGGAGGCCCTGGCACAGGGTGCCCAGAGAAGCTGTGGTTGCCCCTGGATCCCTGGAAGTGTCCAAGGCCAGGCTGGGATAATGGAAGGTGTCCACTGGGGTGGACTGGATGATCCTTAAGGGCCCTTCCAGCCCAAACCATTCTGGGGTTCTTTGTTTCTATCATCTGAGGCCCTTCATCTGACTCCCACCCCACCTGACTTGGCCATGGACCTCAGCAAGGTGAGGAATCCATGCCATGTTGGAATATCGAGGGGAAAAGGGATGGATTGCACCAGGGAAGGATTGGATGGAATAGTGGGAAAAATTCCTCTTGGAAAGGGCTGCCCAGCTCTGGCACAGCTGCCCAGGGCAGGGGTGGAATCCCCATCCCTGGAGGGATTTCCAAGCCCTGTGGATGTGGCACTTGGGGACATGGGCAGTGGTGGCCTTGGCAGTGCTGGGGGATGTTGGACTCTGATCTTAGGTGGCTTTTCCAACCTAAACTATCCAATGATTCCATGGCAGCTTGTTCCTCCTGGTCTCTCAGGTGAAGAGCACGGGCAGGGTCTGTGAGAGGTCAGGGGTGAACTGGGTGAGCTCCCAGTCCCTCACAGAAAAGCCAGGATGTGCAACCAGGATTCCTGGGACCATCATTCCTTGTTTTCTGAAAGCAGCACCAGTGCTCTGCTCAGAACAGACAGGCTTAACTCCCTAATTTTTGCCTCCTTGGGGAGAATAGAGAGTCCTCTAGCTCTGAAAATTCCCTGAGGGAACACAAATGTGTTCCTGCCCTTCTCCAAACATTCCCAGACTCCGGGGCACCACCAGAGAGCCCAGAAATGAGCTGCCTGAGGGGAAGGGAGATAGGGAAGAATTCTCACCTTCTGCTTGCTCCTGCTGCTCTCAGACACCCAGAGAGGGCTCTGGGCAGGGAGCAGGGACTGGGATTAACAAGGAATATAAATGGGAAGAATATCTTGGGGTTTCTCTTGTTACCTAGAGGTTGTGGGTAACAAATCCAGGCTGGTCAATCAAATGAAAAAAATCAGAATCAATCAAATGAAAAAATCAGAATCAATCAAACAAAAAAATCAGAATCAATCAGATAAAAAAAACCAAAATGAATCACGTAAAAAAATAAAAATTAAAAAAAAATCAAAGACTTGAGTTCTGTCAGGCTCAAAGTGGCCACAGAGTTCAAGTTTTGTGGATTTACAAACTCTGTGTAGCAAGAGAAAACCCAAGATAAGAGTTGAACTCGATGGTCCTTGTGGGTCCCTCCTGACTCAGCATATTCTGGGATTCTGGGACTTAATCTGAAGGCTGTGTTTATTGTGTTGCTATTAATTATTAATATCTAAACCAATAGATTAATATAGAACTAATATTAAAATATAAAACAGATATTAGTATATAAAACAAATATTAATATATAAAACAAATATTAGTATCTAAAACTAATATTAGTATCTAAAATGAATATTAATATTTAAAACTAATATTAATCTCTAAAACTAATATTAATATCTAAACACTAATATTAATCTCTAAAACTAATATTAATATCTAAACACTAATATTAATCTCTAAACCTAATAATAATATCTAAACACTAATCATTAGTGTTAGGAGGGTTACAGGCTGTGTGGGACACGTGGGAAATCTGTCTCTGTTTCAGTTAAAACCGAGCTTTTCTTTCGGCAGAAACAAATAACAAACTGTTTCTTTTCTTCCTTCCTTTCCCCTGGGTTTGCTCCTGCTGGGAAGGGAGTCGCTGTGTGAGGAAAAAGGGATGTTAAAGGTGGTTTGGAATGTTGTGACTGCCGGGAATCTCCTTCCTGAGGGCAACACCCACCTTTGTGGTTGAAGTCGTAGATGTACTCGGGGCACGGCATGGCCACCACCTTGCCCGGGACACCTTCGGGCCAGCAGACGATGCCATCCCACTCAGGGAGACAAAACCCATCTGGGGGAGAGAACAAAGGCAAGAAGGAGTCACTGCACCCTGCAGAGGTGACACGGGTGTCCCACTGTTTGGAGAAGGCTCTCTGGGAAAAGCTCTCAGTGCTGTCGCTCAGGTTGAGAAATCACTGGGAAATCACTGGGAAATCATTGAGATATCACCGGGAAATCACTGAGAAATTGCTGGGAAATCACTGGGAAATCATTGAGAAATTACTGAGAAATCACTGGGAAATTGCTGGGAAATCATTGAGAAATCAGTGAGAAAACATTGAGAAGTCACTGGGAAATCATTGAGAAGTCACTGGGAAATCACTGAGAAGTCACTGGGAAATCATTGAGAAACTGCTGGGAAAATCACTGGGAAATCACTGGGAAATCACTGAGAAATCACTGGGAAATCATTGAGAAATTGCTGGGAAATCACTGGGAAATCATTGAGAAATCACTGAGGAAACATTGAGAAATCACTGGGAAATCATTGAGAAACTGCTGGGAAAGCACTGGGAAATCACTGGGAAATCATTGAGAAATTACTGAGAAATCACTGGGAAATTGCTGGGAAATCATTGAGAAATCACTGAGGAAGCATTGAGAAGTCACTGGGAAATCATTGAGAAACTGCTGGGAAAGCACTGGGAAATCCCTGGGAAATCATTGCCATTCTTAGTGTTTGGCTCCAGAAGGTGCAGGTTCTCCCAGGTTTTATTTCGGAAGGACACGCGGCATCCAGCCCTGGGAACAGCAGCAGGAGGACGTGGAGCTGCTGGAGAGAGTCCAGAGGAGGCCCCGGAGATGCTG